AGTGGGACAGTAAAGTTCATTATTACTGAGGCAGCATAACACCCTCCAGTACCTCTCCTTTAGAAGATCCTGGCTCATGGGAAGATTATAATTACAGAATGGCCTGGATTGGAAGGAGCATTAAAGATTATTTAGTTCCACCTCCCTGCCATGGGCAGGGACACCTTCCTAGACCAGGTTGCTCAGAGCACTATCACATCTTGAACACTTCTAGGGATGGGTCATTTTTTTGCATTTTTTTTTCCTTAAAAAAAGCTTTTTTTTTATTAATATCCACTTCCCATAGCCTTAACTAAATAACCTTTTCAGATGGAAATACACTGAGCAGGAAACCTTTTCAGTTTTAACACCTTTGAGCACACCTGTATTTCCATTATTCTTAATTGATTTTCCTCCCACTAATACGTGATTACTTATGGTCTATCCAAAGATAAGTTCATAATTCTGATGGACATGTAATGCTGACTGCTATATATAGTTATGGGAATAGGACATGCTGGAGATTCATAGCCAGAGTCAGCAGTTAACATATCTGCAATGAGGAAGGCAGGAATTTACGTTTATGGAATTGGAATTAGGCTTGCAGGTGCCAACCCATAGAAGTTCACTGAAACTTCATGGCCAACAGCCACAGAAATTAAATATCTGCTGAATAGGGTGTTAAATTAGCAGGGCTTCTGAAGCAGGCTTGCTGATACAACGTTGTCATATTTTAGTGTCAGAACGGTTTTGTGCATGTTTCTGAGAAAAAAAAAAGATTAATTTCACATGACAGATCTCTTGTTCAGAGAGAGCAGGGCCATTAAGCTGTTAATACAGTTCTCTATTATTCCTATACAAGTATTCAAAAAGTATTTCTTTAAATACTGCTCAACGTTGTGTGGCAAAGGTTGAGGCACCTGTGCAGCAGTGAATGAAGGCTATCTAAATATGAATGACTAATTATCAGGGAACAGGAAAACACTAGTTTTCTTTCATGACTGAGATGGCTTCATCCTATTCAGAATAATCTGTTGGGAAAATAATTTGCATAAAGAAGATGGAGTTTTGATAAATAACTTTGATGTTCATAATTATAGTAATTTTTTGTATAATTTCTTTCCTTTATGCTCATGTTTTATTTCAGTTTTTTCTTTCAGCCATTAAAGCTGATATTAAATTTTAAAGCAAACCTATCTCACTGTAGACAGACTCCTTACGAAAGGCTTTTATCTTTGTATCATAACAGTGAACTTAGCAGGAATTTGCTGTTGAGATTTCTTTCCATTTCTCTGAATTTGTCTTCCCTACCACAATAAATCACACAAATTAATGTGCCAGGAAGGATATAGAATTATTAAATTTAACAAGGCATTAAAGGAAACCTGTTTCACTTTGTTTGTATAAAAGATATAATAATATAATTATATTTTTAACTTTATTCTAGACAAAAATTCAACCTCTGAAGTGTTGAGCAGAGTGGAAATACTTGGCTCATTGTGCCACCTGAACAACTTCTGAACTTAACTCCAGATTTTGAAGGAGTAGTGACTGTCAGTTGTGCTTAGTGGTGTAAAAATATTCTTATTCTGTCCTAGCTTTCTTTAAGGCTCTATAAAACATCTCAGTGTGCTGAGAAATATTTCTTACACAACATTTATTTACACAAAAATGAAAAAAAAAAAAATCACTTTAGACATTAGTAATGCTTTTCAGATCTATTTAAAGATGACTCTACAAAATAATTGCTACGTCTCCCCTCTCATTTGCTCTCTAAGGAATTAACTACTGGGTACTCCTAGTAGCTAATTTGGTGTTAAATTGCTCATATTGTTCTTCCTATCATAAACTCATACTGAACAGTTATTTCTCTCCTTTTTCATTTATTCCACTGTTTGTGTGCACAGTTTTTTAGTAGGAATGCTTGACATTTGGGGTGCTTGCTCTCTGAAACCCTGCTTTAAAACACCATGTTTTTGTGAAGGATATTTTAATGCTTTTTTCTCCACAGACTATTATTTTTAAAAGTCTATCAGCTTTCTCATAGCTTGTGTAGTTAAATTTTCTTCCTGATTACTCACAGTTCAGGGATTAGTGTGATACCTATTTATGATCAGCTATGGTACAAGAAGATGCATGAAATACAGGAGTATTAAAGGATGAATTGTTGAGTGTGTCCCATTGAAATCCAGGGAGACTTTGACACAATAAAATGGTTGTTGTCCAGCTGTGAAACAGCAGTGAGTAAAGTCAGGGATACCTTGACCAGCACAAGACCATAGAATCATCCAAAGGTGATGACAGAACTGGTCAAGGTCCTTGTAAAGCCACTGCCATATTTGAAAGGGCATGGAAATCACAGGGACACCTCTGATGAATGGGGGAAGGTAATGTCACATTCATCTCAAAAAATGGCTGAGTAATCCACCCAGGGAACTTCAGGCTGCTCAGCTGCACTTCAGTCCCATGAAGGAATCTACTTTGGAATGTATTTTATTGTATACAGAGCAGAATGTGGTGGTGGGGAACAATCATGGTTTTATGAAGGGTAAATCATGCCTAACCAGAATGATTACCTTCTAAGGTAAAATGCCTTGGTCTGTGAATTAAGGAAGAGTAGCAGATAAAGAATCATAGAACAGGCTGAGTTGGAAGGGACCTTAAGGGATCACTTAGTTCCAGCCCCCTGCCATGGACAGGGACACCTTCCACTAGACCAGGTTGCTCAGAGCTCCATCCAAACTGGCCTTGAACACTTCCAGGGATGTGGGCACCCACAGCTCCTCTGAGCGACCCATGCCAGTGCCTCTCCCACTCACAGGAAAGAATTGCTTCCTAAAATCTAATTTAAACTTACTCTCTGTCAGTTTTAATTTATTCCCCCTAGTCCTGTCACCCCAGGCCCTCATAAACAGCTTCTCTCCATCACCCCGGTCAGTTCCCTTCAGGTGTTGGAAGGCCACAATTAGGTCACCCCAGAGCCTTCTCATTTCCAGGCTGAAAAATCCCAATTTTCTCAGCCATTCCTCATGGGTGAGATGCTCAATAAGATGCCATTTACCTTGACTTTATAAAAGCTTTTGAGACTTTTCCCCACAATACTTTTGTGCTCAAATCACAGTTTAATGGCCCAGATGGTCATCCAAACCTGAGTTGATGGTTCAGCTGAGAGATGATGCAGTTATTCCTACCCTAACCGTAGATAATTAACAAGTGGAATATTGATGAGGGTTATCCTGGGATCTGTCCTGTTTGATCTGTACTTGACACCTCAGGACAGGTAGACAATGAAGCAGGAAGTCCAGAGAGACTTCACAGACCCCATCCCTGAGGTTCTCAAGACCACCCTGGACAAAGCTCTGAGCCACCTGTATGACCTTGTAGCTGACACTGCTTTGAGTAGAAGGATGAAAACAGACCTCCAGAGGTCCTTTCCAAACTGTAAACTTAAAAATGGGCTCTGAGATGCTCAGTTACAGGAAATCACTGGCTGAATGATCTGTTAATAGGTGAATTCCTCTGAATTCTCCTTTTCTGCGATCTTGATTTAGTTTTACTAATTTCAAATTGCATATTTCTCTAGAATATGGCAGAAATAACAGAAAGGATTGAAGAACGTGGCAAATGCACTGATACAATCTAAAAAAGTTTATTTGATTCCAGTCCTTTTTTTTCTGATTACTTACTGCTTTGGAAACCATGGATTAAGAAGAAAAAAACCCAAAACATGTATTTTGTTCCTTGAAGCCAGATTCCTTAACCCCATACAGTTTGCCTTCTAGAAACACACACACATTTTCCTGCACATCAGGGTAAAAGGAATTGCTGCTAATCACCATCCCAGAAGCCTACGGTAAATATTAATATAATTCAAATAAAATTGATATCCTTAATAATTAAATACATTCCTTTATTTTCTTTTTAATTGTTTATTTATTTATTTATTTTCATTCCATTTAGGTCCAGCTGCTACTAGCAGTATGCCGTGCCTTCTTAGGGACTTGCTACTACCCACTCTCTCTTCTCACTTTGCTGACTTCTCAGTAAATTTTTGGGTCCTTTAAAATAAGAATATTCGTCAAGTTTTATAAAAAATGCGGTTTTAACTGCTGCTTGAGGTGCACTTGCTCAGAATAATTTTCCTGAACATTGAGTTCCAGTTTGGTATTTTTTATGTGTTTGAGACCTCTGTACAAGAATGCTTTCATAGAACAGCTGTTTCCTAGTAGTTCCAGATTCTGGACCATGGGGATAAAGTTAAAAGTCTGGAGAATATCATCAGGGAAGCGGTTTTTATTTCAGGGTCTGTTTAGCAAGAAGTAATAGGAGGGGTCTACACATGTTTTCTTGAAAATGATTTCCCAGTTTTATTTGTGTTTGTGAAAGGATGAAATAACAAAATAAAGCATATTTTATCTGATTACAATATGAGTGATTGCAATAGCCAATTCAATATTTTTTGTTAAGAAAATTAGTAAGAAATTGTGAGCCACACTGTTGTGTAATTCAAAATGATGAAGTTACTATTTGACATCAGTGCAAAAGAAATGCCGTGAAAGGAGCGAAGATTAAAAATTCTGCTTGTTTTCACCAGTTGTGATGAAGAATATAAATGTATGATAAAATGACCTTAGGGCACAGTAAAGGCATATTCAAAGCATCCAATCAGTGAGTCTGGCAATGATATTAAAGAGATAATGGTGAGCCAAAATGCTTGAAATGTTGGCTAAGTGATAGCAATGAGGCAATTAGAAACTGGTGTGGTGAAGCGATTCAAGCCTTCATCCAAAGCTGTTTTACCAGTGATGAGAATCTGTTTTCTTGCTATCCTCAAGTTAATGTAATCCATTGCCTTCAACAACAGCATCAACAATTGCCACACAGCTGGGACCAATGTGCAGGCACACAGTGCTGTACTTGTCAGGAAATCTACAGGCAGAAAAGGGACCTGCTGTGTCTCTCTTCATTCCATTTGTCAGATTATTTACCCTTTCTCAGTATCCTAACACTTCATTCTCCTACATAATTCCTACTTCTTCCCTTGTGTTATCTCCACATCCATGTGTCCGCTTTTTGTCTCCTTCTCTCTGCATATAAATCTCCAATTCACGTGAGACACTCACAAAAACACTACTTTAACACCTCATTTATCCATTGTCCTGATTCTCATATTTTAACATTTCTCCATCAAAATTACCTCTGTCATTCAATTCCTCCTCCTCATCTGCATCCTGCCATGATGCTTGTTTTCACCAGTAACATCTTGACATTTAAAATAAAAGCATTAGAGTTCTTTGACACACATTGTTCAATTTTGTTAGTGCTTTAATTATGCCTTTTCAATGTTGTTGTGTCTGTAATTTCTCTTAAATTACTTTGATACCCCAAGATGCCCATGGTCTTCTATCTGAAAGAAAAATGAAGAAATAAGAGTGTTGAATAACTCAACTAGTTGTGGGGATTTGACCCCAGCTGGACATCTGGTGCCCACCAAAGCCACTCTATCACTCCCCTTTTCAGCTGGACAGAGGAGCAAAAATACAGCAAAAGACTCATGGGTCAAACTAAGGAGAGGGAGTGTCACTCACCAGTTACCAACAAAGCAAAACAGACTTACCTTGGGGAAAATATATTCATTTTTTATCAATCAAATCATAATAGGACCATAAGGAGTAAACTCAACACTTAAAAACCTCTTCCAAGCAGCCCTCCACCCTTCCCAGGCTTAACTTTTTCCTGATTCTCCACCTCTTCCCCCTACACAGCACAGGGGGGATGGGGAATAGAGGCTGTGGTCAGTTCATCACACATTACCTATGATGTTCTTTCAAATATTTTAGGGCCAGATAGGAAAAAATTATATGCAAATTGCACAATTTTTTTAAAAAAATAAATTATTTGCTGGTACAAAACTCCATCACATTATTCTGGAACAGATGTTTCCAGAATAAAGAGAGAGAGTTTAAAGCAAAGCACCAATGCAGACATAAACACACATAGGCAGGAGAGACACTGTCCTTGGTGAGGAGGTTCTGAGGGGGCTACTAATCATGAGTATTCTGCAATTATCCATGCTGAATTTTTGATGTATTAAACCTTTGCACAACGTAACTGATGCTTTAGTCTTACAGTGAGCCATTATTTGTTCTGATAGAAAAACAAAAGGGATTATTCTGCCATGAGTATGAATGAAGATAATTTGTCACAGTAAAACATCGTTGATACTAGATCCTTAATACATCTGCACTGAAAAAAAATGGGTATGAATTATCAAAAAAAAAAAATGTATCAGATCATTATGATAAAACTGGGAGAACTCCTCCCCTAAAAGCAGCAATATTCTTCACTCTAAGCAGCCTCGAAAAAGCCACCCCATTTTGCTGTGTTTATGTTAGATGACTGTCACAGCCTGAATGCCATGCCTGCTTAGTTATTTGTGCTGGTGGATGTCTTTTTTCCTTTGTGAGTGTCCTTTCTGTGAGACAACCTCAGAACTCTTATATTTGAAACTCAGGGATGTTCATTTAGGTAAACCCCTTTTCAATTTTTATATATGTATATTCTATTTGTCTCAAACCAGAGTAAGATATACTATTCATGTTGTACCATGAGTCAAATTCATGTTGCTCTGACTTGAACAATCTACAAATTACATCAGACAGGCAAAACTTGTGGTGTGATCTCCAAACTTGTATTATGTACTTAGCTTCAGAAAATCTGTTGAGACTCTATCACAGTGACTTGTTCCCAAACAGAAACAGCAAAGGCACTCAGAGGTGCATTTCAGATTAGAATTTGACTCTACAGGGAATCATAACTATCATTCAAAGAAATACTGAATACCGTGTTGTCAGACTAAATGATCAACTCAAAACTCATGATTTATTGTTTGTCTCTCTTCCCTGATACAAAACAAGGAATCTATTGATTTTTTGGAAGCCAATTTTATTGTGGTGTGAGGCATTTTAACAATTGCTATTAACCATAATATTGTATGGGCAGTGAAATAGTCAGTGCTATTAGTTAATGTGCAAGAAAATATCGACCAGCAATTCTGAATAAATATAATGATACAAGACATGAGTGTTTGTTCAGCATTTATTCTGACAATCCAACAACTGAAGAAAATCTCAGAGTTGGAATCTAGCTACCATTAAAAATTATGTAGTGGTTTCTATTCATCTAGGTTTGGAAAAACTGGCTGTGATCCAAAGGTCTGATGACTTTATCTTTAGAAGAAAATCAATGGTATGTAAATAGCTAATTAATTGTCCTAGACTAAGCAAAGCAGCTCAAAGATTTAAACAAAAGGAGAGAGTTTTAATTCAAAGAATGGTTTGCTACTATTTCCCTTGGATGGAGCCAGTGTTTGTATCAATGGGGATTTTTTTGTTTTGTTAAGGAAAAGTAATGGGATGCTGAGTGGCAGGCATATCTAAGAGTATAGTTATCAGGAACCTCGTGACAGGAGGAGAAATATTTTAAATTTTGCTTGTAAGGACACTTCTACAGCAATCTCTCTGCAATGCCTCAGTTCAGCACTGTGGCACAGAGTCTCTCCTGGTGCCCCTTGGCTTTCCTAGAGCTGCATTCCCTTGTCTTGGGAAGGCTGCACTTCTCAGGCTGCACCCCACTGATGTCACAAAGATGAATGCAGTTTGTTACCCAATAAATATGATTTTGTACCTGCTACTGCAAGGCCACAGGCCCTGGGCTGAGCTGACTTTAACAGGTGTCTCACAGGCAAGTCCACAGGAATGGCTTGCAAGGATAAAATAAGGCTTACAATACAGAAGAGAAATTAGTATTTCTCAGACCAAATTATCATATAGCTGGTGAATCTTTAAAACTGGAGGAATTGTTTATTTGGTGAGTTCTTTTCAAGCATAAGTAATGCCCCTTTTCAGATTTGAATATTGGAATTAGAGAGATTGCTTCTGAAGACCTGCAGAAAAGTGAGAAATATTTGCTATCTATTTTGTGTATGGCAGGATGTGGTGAAATGAAACAGAAGAGTAGCTGACCTCTTTATTGAGAACCAAATGATTTTTCTGTTAGCATTAGCCTATACCACTAAAAGATGAAAGATTTATTATCAAATTACTAGGAAACACAAAGAATACAATTAAGATCTGAATCTTTGGCTGCATGTTTTTAATTCTTCATCACAGGCAGGTCTTTCATAAATCACTCATCCTTTATGAAACACATTATGAAAATATGTGTAATGTTCATTTTCCCAAAAATGGAATTAGAAGGAAGTCAATTAATTCAACAGACTATATTATTTTAAAAAACTGTTTCCATCAGGTTTTTTTCAGTTTGTCAGTACAGAATAGTCATACTCAGTGTAACTGCCCTTCATATTTTTAAATTAAGAATATTCTATTGTCACCCAGGAAGTGTCTTACACTTGTCACTGCTGGGAGAAGATGTCCCAGGGGTGTCTGGACTGCTTTCACTCCTTCCTTGCAGGCAGGGAGTAGGGAGAAAGCTGAGGGAAGAAGCCGTGGAATGAGACATGAGATTTAGGACACCACCACAGACAAGGGGTCAGTGCTAGGAAGGTGATTTTGTACATGAAATGACTTTGCATTATTAATAAGGCTTTTTTAGCATTAAATAATTTGGATTATTTGACTGTGAAAATGCTAATTGGGCAAGCAATAAATGGCATACTGCCTTTTCCCATAGCAGCATTTGGAGTTGAAGAGTATTTATCTCAGTGTCTCAGTTTAGACTAAAATTTAAGAGAAAACACTCTTAGAGTTGTCTCCTCTAAAAGGTTCCCACAGTCCCTTTCTACCAATACGAAATGAATACTAGTGCAAGTAAGTGAAAAACAAAAAACAAAAAACAGTTCATTAACAAGAATGCCCACAAGGCATGCCAAAAAAAAAAAAAAAAAAAAAGCTAGATATTAAACTGCCAGACCTTACCCCTATGCACAAAGTGGAACAAAAACCCAAAATGCCAGGAAAAAAATACCGGCTCATGCCATGCCATGAAAGACAGTGAGGACTTCTGTCTCAGGAAAACAAACAGGACCTTCACACAGCAGTTCAGGCAGAGATGAAAAGCTCTGTCACTGAGCTCCTCTCCAGCAGCAGATGAAGCAGGTGGGCTTTGTGTGCTTTCTGTCCCGGGCTCAGCTTTCCCAAGGTTTGGGACCGAGGTGGAGCAGCCCCTCTCTGCTACCGGTCCTGACTGACCCCTCTCCCCTGAGTCCCATTTCCTCTCTCTGGTCTCAGACTAAACAAGCTGTCCAGTTCACCCCGAAAAATTGCCAAAGGCTTGCTGCTGCAGCTTCTCCAAGGCCAGGGAAAGGAAAAACTTCTCACCTGGCTTAACAAAACCAAGCTAAGCAAGCAAAACCCAGAGCACACCACACCCCAGACACCTGGGGAGCCAGGCTTTGGAAAAGCCATCAAGGAGCCCAAGATTCCCTTCTCCCCTGGACCCACCTCAAAGATACAGCAACCATTTTTGCACACCCCAGGACACATGTGAACTGCAGCAAGCCACATTTCTGTTCAGCATCTCAAACAGCTGACTTTCTCACTGACTCCAGGGCAATATCCTTGTTAAATTCTTGAGAATCAGGAAAACTCCTGCATAACTTACCACCCAAGGCACAGAAACAGTGACTTAACAGTGGGTTTTGGAGTGAAGAATTAAACCTTGGCACTGCAAGGCTCAGGGTTCAGGTACCTACTGTCACTAACAGCAAAGCTCATCTGTAATGTTACTCATTCCTAAAATTATGAATAACCATAACACTGATCAGGAGCTATGGAGAGGAACATAGACCACTCAAGGATCTTGCTTTTGGATTGCTGGTTGTTCAGGGGAACTCATGGTCTGAAATTGTATCTGGTCATTTACAAACTCAAGATCTGTCTTCAGGACCTCAGATGTGATGGTTCACGTCCAAAGTTTCATCTGCCTCTAGGCAGCAGGGTTTTGTGCACTGAGTAGGAGTAGGTTTTGTAGTTAATACTCTACAGAGCTGCAAACAACATCTTGCATGCACAGAAGTATTAAATCATTGTTGATAGGAGATCACAGTATCCTCACTCTTACAAGATCCGTGGTGGTTGTGCAAGACTTCACAGCTGACAGAGTCCAACCTCACAGCTCCCACAACCACTCTTCTGTTTCTCACCACATCTTTCTCCCAATGGCACAGAAAGGAGTGGGTGTTTTCCTTCTCTTCCCCCTCACAGTGAGAGGTACTCTGGCAGGGAAGAGAGCAGATTCCACAGGAATCACTGTTTCTTTAGCACCACCAAACACATTTGCAAGATAAAGGGTATCAAAGGTGATTATTTTTACAGGACTCACAAGCAGAGGTGAAGATAGTACACTAGCAGAAAGCATTTGCTAATAAAATACTACTTCTCTTTCGGCTTGAAAGCTTTTAAGTGGAACAGATGGCAGCACTATCAACATTAATGTAAGATAAGGGACATTGGCTCATACTGGAATACTACTGACCTGCATGATAATATTTATGCACTTGGAGACTTTTTTTTCATTTTTAATAACTTGATTCTCTTTATCAGGCAAGAGTTACTTCCAAAGAGGCACTGTTTTTGTCTAGAAGTCATCTGGAAACCATTCAAATACCGTAAAGGTCAAAATTAAATGACTGGCCTTATTTCCAGAGTGATATACTTCAAACCATAAGATCCCTTCACAGCTGAAGCAATTATAAATGTTTTCTTACAGAGAAAGTGTATTTTTGATAAAGAATTATTGGAATAGTTTTCTAAAATCGAGTAAAAGAAGGCTGACAGGGTTGGGAAAAGCAAATTGGTCAGTGCAGACATGGATTCACTTACTTTGCCTTGGTTTCAGTATTCATCACTCAAGAAGCCACAAATAAAAGACAGTCCTCCAAATTTTGGAGGATTTCAGTATTCACTGGATCTGAAAGCCACCATTTTTTAAAAAACAGAATTGCTACTGTATATCTGAAACAGTGAAGCACATGGACTAGTACTAACTAGATGTAAAATATTAGACTGAAGGCACAGTCCTACTTGACCTCTAGTTAATACACATTGCAAAATATTGTCTGAATTGTAATTGTTAAGTTTGGGTTTTCTAATTAACCTATCTTGTTCATAGTGATTGATGAAGGACTGTAAGGTCTTTAAATTTTGACAAGTAAATCAAATATCTTTGCTACAGAATCCAATCCAGAATCTAAACCTATTAGCTTTTTAGGATATCTCGCCAGTAGGAAATTATTTAATCTATTTATTTTAATTCTTCTGCCTGTAGGACATCTCTCTATGTCTTGGAAATAACATTTGACAAGGACTTCAAGATTATGTTGTTAAGATTATAATAATAATTAGATCCATTTGCAACATTTCCTAGTCATATTATAATATAACAGTACTGTAGAAAGAACTATCCAGTGTTTGGAAGAAAGAGTCTGTTGTCTTGTGGGCAGTGCAGATTCTCAGATGGTGTAAATCAACATTGTTTCAAAGAGCTAAATATCTTGGTTTCTATGTTTTAAATGTACTTTGTTCATAAGGTTATTTCAGAAGCATTGTGATGGTAATTTTTTCCCTGACAATTATCAGTTTTTCAGGTTTGCAGGTTATCTTTCCTCAATCCCATTTTCACTGAAATTGAAATGAAGGAGTTTTTTTTTCACTTCGGCATTAGTTTTGTTATTTGATAAATTATGCTTAGTTAGCACAAATTTTATTGACAAGAGGAGAGGCCTTTTAAATTCTATGTTGTCCCAGGATAAATGGTATGGATCTTTCATAAGTAGTGGTGATTTTTAATTTCTTAGGTAAAGTAATAGGTGTTAGGCATTATTTCCAATTTTTTCCACATATATTGATGTGGGCATTGTGCTAAAATGTCCTGTCTGAGATCTGACTGGTAGGTTTTGCTTTGTTTTTATACACTCAAAGCGAAATCTTCTACAAAAAGTAGTAATTCCAATCACTGAACTTCGGTTCCCTGTGTCCCACCTAAACTCGCTGACAAACTTCTCTCCCTCTAAACCTTTTCTGTTCATAACTTTTCTGTTGACAGATCTGTTATTAGCTGTTAGTCTCCTGTGCAAATATCATGTTTCTTGTCTCTCACTTCATAGGTCTTTCCAGCTTTTACTCTGCTTACAATTCCACTTAGGTATTTTGTGGAGCAGGCACACCTGTTCCCTATATTCCTTCCTTTCTCAAGATCATTTATGTCTTTTTTCCATTCTTTCTAAAGAGCCACCTGTTCTCCAAGGTAACAGGGTGGCTGTTTGACTCCACTCCTGCATTCTACACTGATTTGCTCATTTGCTTCACAGTACCTGAATTTCTCTGGCACATTCATTCCCCTCCTCAGTCATATTGATCTGCTCTTTGCTCGTTCAGGTGAGTCTTTTCTCTTTTATGCAGGAAAAATCTTTAGTGATGCACAATATTTGACCTAACATCAGAAGTCTTAAAGACTATTTTTTGGTTTTTTCCCACAGGTCATGATAAATTAATCCTAATCCCCCAGTAGGTTTTTACAGTATCAGGCTTCCAAAATTATGAGCTAAGCCTACCTAACAAACAAGTTGTGATATAGGCTGAAACATTGTGTGAAATGACAGCCACAACAGCATATTAACACTGATGAATTGTGTACACTGCAGAAAATACAATTTTTTACATGCAGGAGGTAAGATCTGCTTCTGCATATTTGCCATGGATGAGATCATTTACAAGGCTTTTGCTCTAGCCAAGGTCTGAGGCTGGTAAGAGGTGCTGAAACCACACAACAGGACTGTACCTGCTCAGTGGGATGGAGTGTGGGTACAATTCTGTCTTGTACAGTATAAATCCTGTTTGGAAAAGGGAGATTTTGACTCTGAAATGGATTTCCACACGGACAGCAGAATGTTTTAAAGAGGCTTGGTGTTCTTTTTACATACTGAAGCTCTACAGTAAACTATAGAGGGTAATGTCACTGTCAAGAGCAGGTTGCAAGAATATATTATAAATGAAAGTGTTAGCTGGGTTTGGCATAGTAGCCTTTATTCTCTCCAATGGAATAGCAATTACTTCATGCAGAACTGTGTAAGATATCAGCACTTGAAGACTGAGTAGATGTTTGCTGCTCTTTTTGGCAGCATTTGGTGCAGAAATGGGGCCATTTATGGAGCACTATCATATGCAGCACAATCAGCTTCCCTGTGGATCTGACGAGAACCAAGATGTTAAGGTTGCTAAGGCATATTTTCAAGATGCTGGAATATTCTGGATAGCTTAACATGCCAAAGTAAACAACATCTGAAACAAAAATGTAATGAACTCAAACTGGCCCCAAAGGACTTTTAAATGCTTTTAATTTTCAGGCAGTTTCTTTCAACTGTTGGCCTCTGAAACACATAGTTTGCTGCTCCAAACAAGGAATGGCCTCAGTTAATGACAATTGCTTTTCATTAACTAAGCTGTCTTGAGATTATCATCCTGGTTCTTTGAC